AATGTATACTGATATAAAAATTTAAATGAATTTTTATGTTTAAAATTTAAATTAAAAAATTTTAAATAAAATATTGGCAAACAGGTTATAGGAACATAAGTTTATACACCATACAGGAACAAAGATTATACACTGTGACCAGGCTGGATTTATAACAGGAATGGAAGACTGATTGATGTTAGCAATAGTATTTAAAAAAATAACTGATGATATAAATAGCAAAAATCATGAGATTGTCTAAATAGATGCAGAAAATTATTTTGAAAAAATACAATACTCATTTCTGTTTAAAAAAAGCTAGAAGAGTTGGATTCAATTCAACAAACATTTATTAAATATCTGTGATATGCAAAGAGTTAAGTTAAGCACTGGATTAAAACAGGTTTTTATGTTTTTGTGGTTTTTCTTTTCAGATATGGCTCATTGGCTAGAGAGTAAGAGCTGACATATGAGTTCAGATAGCATGTGTTTCTTGATGGATAAGACTAAAAGTCTATCAACTACAAAGAAGGAGAAATTAAGAAAGTTATTGTTGGTTCAGTCATGTTTGACCCCTTGTGACCCCATTTTGGGGTTTTTTTTGGCAAAGGTACTGGAGTGGTTTGCCATTTCCTTCTCCAGTTCATTTCACAGATGAGGAAATTGAAGCAAACAGGTTACTACCCAGTTACTTACCCAGGGTCACAGAATTAGTACATGTCTGAGGCCAGATTTGAACTCACCAAGATGAGTCTTTCTGACTTCAAACCTGATGCTCTATCCACTGTGGCACCTAAGAAGACATAGGCTTAGTTCCCTTTACAGGGATGGAGAAAAAGGGAATCAATTATAAAGACCTTTGTAACATTCTCTTGATGTTTGTTATTAAACCTGTGTTTTGGCACTTTATGGTGATTCGTGGAATACCCCTTTAATATGTCTAAAAGAAGCATAGTTTGTTATTTCCTGGAAACATGGCTAAGATGATGCCTGTGCTAGCCCCAAAGACCAATCTGTGTGTTAGGACTTGGTTCAAAGAGAGAAGATGTAGTAGCATCTAGAAATAGGGGGCACCAATGAGCAAAGTCCTGGAGGTTTGTTGGTGGCAAAAAGAACATTCTAACCCTGATTTAGTCCAACACTCATTCAGGGAAACTTTGGCAAGTCATTTATCCAATATTGCACACTGAGTTGCTGGGCTAGGGCTTGAACTCAGGTCATGGAACCAGAGAGATTCTTTGGATTGACAGAGACCTCAGAGATCTAATCATGTACTCTTAATTTATAGATGCAGAAACTGAGTCAAGGAAGGGAAAGAGATTTGATCAAGGTAGCACAGCAAGGGAGTTTCATGGCTCAAACCCATGTCTCTCACTTCCATGAGTGTGCTATTAAATGTTCAATTGGTTCTCAAAAAACAAAAAGCATACTTTTAAAGGATAATTAGCATTATTAACATTTTTTCTTTACCACTTTAAGTCTAGACAGTCAACCAAATAATAAATCAATCCTTGATTTATAGTTTGCCAATTTCTGAGGTGAAAATGATCATACAAAAAATGTAAAAAAAACCCCTGGCTCTTGTGACTAATTTTAGCAGGCTCCAGCACACCCCTGTCTGACTCACAATCTGGTGCTCCTTCTACTACAGCATTCTAGTTCCTCAGTGTGAATGAAATTTGGGGGATTCTGACAAAAATGAGGCATTTGTTTCTTTGATTTCATGCCTCTGTGGTTGCATAATCTGTGTCATGTGATGTTCCCCATTGTAGGAAGGGCTGGACAGTGGCTTAGCTACACAGTGGTTAATTGGGAAGATATAATTGGAGCACCAAAGGCAACCATTGGTCCAATACCTTTCTGATTGAACTAAACTTGAGATGATAAACACAGTGAACAAATTTCATCCATAGCTCCTGGCTTTGCCAATCCCAAATTGGTAGGAGTCATGAACATGAGTGAGTGAAAGAGGTAAGGACTGTGAAGAAAAGATTCTATTCTCTTGTTAGGTCCAGCAGGAGCAGACTTCATAACAACTTTGCAGCTACTCCAGATTTTCTTCTTGGCATTGAATTAGCACCATCAGAAAAAAATGCAATTAAGTTCATTTTCAAATATTAATAAAACAATGATCTTAAAGAATTCTCCCTAATACACACTGGATGTAAACACTCCTAATTTATTTAATTCTGTTCAAATTACTAATTGTAATTATTACTTAATGATTCAATATCTGAAATAAAATGAGTCAATTATATAAAAATAAAGAATAAAGATCATTATTTTAGATACCCCTTTGATGACCTCAGTCTTTTTATTGTGACCTAAGTCCTCTTCTCCTTTAGAGATAAATGCCTTAGGAAAAGTCCACTTGTATCATGGAATATGTAGTCAGTGACAAGGAGATTAAGTGATGTCAGGTGAGAGAGCCTGGGGAATTTATGGTGTGAGAAAGAAGAAACCCAGGAAACCCAGGATCCCATGAACCTGGTCATTAGACTAGGGAACCATGATACCACAGGGTGCTGTGCTGTGGGTTTGCAACCATGGGAGTTTAAGAAGGACAAGTGGAAGGTGGGGTAGTGGAAAGACCCCTGGCTTTAGAGCTGAAAGACTAAACCTCCCTGAGGCCCAGTTTCCTTATCTCTAAAAACGGGATGATAAATGGTTACTTACATAATTGGTATGGGGCAGAGAGCTGATGAGCACATACAGTGTGCTTGACTGATGCAATCCCCATGTGGAAGACTTAGGGGATCTTGCTTCTGGAAAGAGAGGGTTGCTTAGAATGAAAGGACCCTGCTTCCTGATTTATAGCACTCACAGAGATTTTGTAATCCCTTTGGTGAAGAGATGGGTTATTAATTTGCTGTTTAGTCAGAACTGGGATTTATTCAAAAGATACTAGCTGGCCAAAACAAGTCTCTTCTCTTCCTTTTTTTTCTCTGGTGTTCAAGTGAGCAGATCAGCTGTAAGTCCTTGTCTGGTAGTCCTCATGGAGCTGATTGATCTGCAGCATTCATATCTGGACCCTCTTCTCTCTGTATACTATCTCAGTAACGTCATTAGCTCCCAAAGGTTTCATTATCATTGCCTTTCAGATGACTCCCAGATTTGCATCTGTACCCCCTGCCTCCCCCTGAACTCCAGTCTCACAACACAAACCGCACATTAGATATTTTGAACCATATGTTTTGGAGACATCTTAAACTCAACATGTCTAAAGCAGAACTCATTGTCTTACTCACTATTTCCCCTAAACCCTCTCTTACACTGCCTTTCTTTTCTTTTTATAGAGGGTAATTCTTTGTCACCACAAAAAGAGCTGTTAAAAATATTTTTGTACATGTGGGTCCTTTTCCCTTTTTTATGATCTCTTTGGATTATAGACCTAATAGTGGTATTGCTGGATTAAAGGATATGCACAGTTTTACAGCCCTTTGGGCATAGTTACAAATTACTCTCCAGAATGGTTGGATCAATTCACAATTCCACCAACAACTGCATTGTCTTTAGTAGTAGATAATGGAGGGTGATTAATATTTCCCACCTCATCAGTGCAACATAGCCTATCCAGAGGCTTCTTACTCAGCCCAGATGTTCCTTTTTGGATGCATCAAACCTAGTCGATCAGCATCATAATCTGATGAGAGCCCCAGAGGGCCCTGGGTGTCACCCTCTCTCCCATCAGCCACCCAGGCTAAACTGGGGTGTTTCCCTATTGGGATCAGAATAACTTCTTGGAGGAATAGAGGAGCAAGAGGAAGTGGTAAAGGCATGGGTAGAAGTGCCTTTCTTCCCCTTCTTGAGAGAAGTCTGGGGGAAGCCCTGGGAAGCTTCTCTGGACAGAGACTCAATATTTATTCATCTTCTCTCCCTATTTCTTACAGATGCACTTTTACGTGTAACGGAAACAGGTCTGGATTTGGAATTGGAGGACTTGGGTTCTAATCTTGGCTCTGCTGTTTCACTCACACACGACACTGGGCCAAGGATTTCTACTTTTCTGAGTCTCAGTTTCTTCACCTGTAAAATGAGGGAGCAGGGCTACTTTCAGTTCTAGACCAAGGATCCTATGAATGATAATATACTTCTTTGGGCTCCACCATTCTAAGAACGCCACTGAGTCCACAACTGAGATGCTTGATAGCTGTAATCCAGCCCCTTGTATGACTTGGCTCAGCCCAAACTCTAGTGAGGTTTGTCAGGTAGAAAGATGTCAACCAGGGGAGTTTCTAAGTAACACTGAGGTCATGTTGTATAATGAAAAAAGTGCTTAGCTCAGAGTCCAGGGACCTGGCTAGAGATCCTTCTTCCAGCAGTAGTTGTGTTGCTGCATGTGAGTCTCTTCTTTCTGGGACTCAATTTTCTTATCTCTAAAATGGTGATAAGAATATGAGAATGACCTGACTCACTATTATGAGGAAAGAACATTGTACATGGTCACCTGCTATAGAAATAAAAGCTGTGATTTTCATCAGGCACAGTATGCCAAAGGGATAAAATGAAGGCATCTTGCTGTGTTCCCTCGGCCAAGATGGAGCACTTTCTCCAGGGTCATGTGATCCTACAAGTTGGAGGGACCTTAGAGATGATATATTCCAGCCCCTTCATTCTACAGGGGAGGCAAATGAGGTCCAGAAAGAAGGGAAGGGATTTGACCAAGAGCACAGAGATATTAAGTGGCAAAGTAGAAACTCCAACTCACTTATTCAAATTCTGAATCCAGGACTTATTCAGTACACTATAGTAAGGGCAAATCCTTTAATGCCTAGTGTGAATGATAGGGAAAAAGAGAGTTTGTATTTGAAACGTGCTTGTTGGTGAGGGGGTGGGTAAGGGTGTTATTTGTTTATTTCGGTTTTTGTGTATGTGTGTGTAATCATTAACCTTGAATTGTTTTCTCAGATTTCTACCAGTGGGACCAGAGTCCAGATTCTAATCCCAGGGCAAGGTTCTCCCACCTTCTGGGGAAATGACTAGGCATTAGCTAAGCAAGGTTCTGATTTGCAGCTGCGTTGGCCTAGGCATTTAGGAGTACAGAAGAAAGATTTTGTACTGTGGGGTTTCCATGGACACATCTGATGTGACCAGCATGGTGGGAGACATGGAGGCTCAGAACATGAAGCTGAAAAAATCCCCTCCATTCAGTCTTGAAAGGTTTCACATTTCTGAAGATTATGGCTTTCTCCTTCCAGATCCCCTGGTAAGTATGCTTGCTTGTAATCACAATGTGCTGTTCTATAGCATGTGCCCTCCTCACCAATAACCCTGTGAGAGGGAGAGAATGTAAGTATTGTATAGATGAATAAACTGTGGCAACTTGCAGTCACTTGTCCAAAGTTACTCAGCTAGGCAGTGTCAAAGGTGAGATTTCAACCCTCATCTCCTGACTCTTAGGCCTAGCTCCAAGGGACTGTCCACTGTGCCGCAGGGCTAGAACAGAAGAGGCGAAAACTTTGACTCGAGATTCTAGGGCTCATGCTTCGCTCGGTTAAGTTAACTTTTCAAGTCTCGCTTAAATAGTCAGCAGTTAGAATTGCAGAATTAAGGGAGAAGATAGTAGAACTCTGGTTAATCAGGTCAAGAATCCCAAAGTCTCATCTCAGTTCAACCACAATTCATCATGTGACCTAGGATGAGTTATTTCCCCTCTTCATCTAATGACAACAGAAATAATGACCATCATCCTTTTAGAGTATGAAGGTTCTTTTTTAATGCCAAAATTTTTAAGGACCCCAATTTAAAATTATTAAATGTACTATTACTATCCAGTAATGACAAAAAGCTACTATGAGTTCAATAATGTTCTAAAATAAATTTCTATTTTATTATTCAATCCTTTCGGCATAGATTTCGAAATCTTTAATAGCAAGATGTGTGAGATAGTCTTTCTTCAGGTGACAGAAGGCACATTTGCTTATTTATTAAAGAAAGTATGGTACGGTTGCTAGATGACAGGACCTGAAGTTAGAAAGATCTCAAATACTTGTAAGCTGCATGACTGGATGGGTCACTTCCCTCAAATGTAAAATGGAGATAATAAAAATAAGAACATTTTTAATCTCAAATGAGAGAATGTCTGTAAAGTGCCTTGCAGACCCCTACTACAAATAGCAGCCATCACTTTTTACCACTTTTGGTGCTGTAGCTGCCGCCAGGACCATAGTGAGTTCTTAAGGAGATAACTCTTGAGAATATGGATTGATAGACCCTTTGCAGTAACCGCTCAGCCTTGTCAGGGGTCTGGAACTCGTAAGGGAGGAACCCATGCTCTAGAAATACAGGCTAGATTGACAGATCTGGTCTAAAAGATTAGTAAAGATGATAAAGTAATAAAACAAAATGTGATTATTAAGGATAAAATTCTATAGCAGATGGTTGATCAAAGGGCAATGAATTATCATTTTGCTTGTTTCCCTGAATGGAGATGTTTACTAAGTTTGCTCAATATGGAAAAATTTACTAAGGACAATATGTGAATAAATCTGTGTTTTAACATGGGGCACAGATTATTTAACTCTTGGTTCATACATCAAAAACCGTGTGATTGAATATGTGTTGACCACTTCCTCTACTCACACTCATTATTCACCCTCCATGCCCTAGTAGAGAAGGAATACAACCTACTGGAAAACCCCCTGGGGTCCCCAGAACCACAGAACCAAGGTTTGAATGTTGGTGTTGATGCTTACTAACTGTAGGCCTTGCGCAAGTTGCTAAACTTCTGTGGACCTTAGCTTCCTCATCTATAAAGTGAGGGGATTTTTCTCAGGAGTTCTTAACCTGTGATCTGTGGACTTAGAAAATGGATAACTATGTTTCAGCATAGTTGGTTTCCTTTGTAATCCCGTGTATTTTATTCGATGCATTTAAAAACATGACTCTGAGACAACCTTATAAACTTCTCTAAACTGACTGCCAGAGGGGGTCATTACGTAGAAAAGATTAAGAATTAAGTCAAGACTAGATGATTTCTCAAGTCCCTTTCAGCTCTATTTTCAGTCATTTTAGTTGTGTCTGAATCTTTGTGACCCCATGTGGGGTTTTCTTGGCAAAGATACTGGAGTGGTTTGCCATTTCCTTCTCCTGCTCATTTTACAGATGAAGAAACTGAGGCAGACAGGGTTAAGTGACTTGCCCAGGGTCAAACAGCTAATAAGTGTCTGAGGCTGGTTTTGAACTCAGAGAGATGAGTCTTGCTGACTCTAGGTTCAGCGCTCTATTCACTATCTAGCTCTATATCCTTGATATAAGATGATTTTTTACAATTTACTGTGGCTGAAAGATAAAATAATCCCTTGGTGACCAATTTTTTGGTGATGAGCCTTTTCTAATTTATGTGGGTTGATCCCTGAGGGAAAGACTCATGAGCTAATACTGGATAGAGACCAACCCTTTCCATCTTGGTTAGTCATATGTTCTTTATTCATAGTTTTGGGGGACCCAAGATTCCTTCTACAGCAGGTTGATAATTTTCTTGGAAGAATTTAGCTATAGCTGTTTAAAATAAGGACACAGAGTTTTAAGTATAGTGAGTGAGGGATGCTGTTATCCCAAAAGAACCTGTTCCAGCTGATTTGAGGGACATGTGGAAGGCATCTTGCCCCATAGGAAGTCCTTATCCCAGGTCTCACACTGGCCGAAATTACCCTTTGAAAGATCGTTCTCTAGAGTGAATTCAGTATTGTCGGAAAGAGCATTCATTCTGGATGTAGACCACCTGAATTTGAGTTTGTTTCACTTTATCAGTTGTGGACCTTGGGAAAAACCTTTGAACTCCACTTTATCAATAAAATGAGGATATTAACACCAATTGTATCTCCTTGAAAGAGTTGTCGTACAGATCAAATGAGGGAAACTTTGTAAGTACCATACATTATATAAATTTTGTAAGGGTTATTAACAGGGTATGCTGGTCAATGTTTAAGGAAGGAAACAAGCATTTATTAAGCATCTACTATGTACCAGGAACTGTGCCAAGCACTTAACAAATACTATCTCATTTTATACTCAGAACAACCCTGGGAGGTAGGTGCTATTATTATCCTATTCAACAGTTGAGGAAACTGAGGCAGACAGACATTGTGACTTGCTGTGGGACACATAGCTGGTAAAAGTCAGAGGCCAAATTTGAACTCAGATCTTTCTCACTTAGTGTTCTAATCACTGTGCCACCTAGCTGGCTCTGCCACCTTTAATTAGCACTCTAGGAAAGAAAATGCACATGGTACATAGTTTATAATTGCATCTGAATTATTAACATCTTCTGCATCACTTTCTTAAGTCTAGACAATAAACAAAAGAAATCAAGCTTTGGTTTATGCATTTGTTAATTTCTGAAATTTAAATGCTCACATTGTAAATTAACAATCATCTCCCTGGTTCCTGCTGCCTCCAGCAGGCTCCTGCGGTTAGCATGCCTCAGTTTTCCTATTTGCCGTATGAGGACAGTAAGCCTATGTCCAATCTCCTAATTCCTAGCTCTCCTAGAGGAACTCAACTGAATTCACCTGGAGAACAAGGAGGCTGTTTTATCTAAACTTTGTGTATTCTCCAGGGCCTCACATTGTGTATTCTTTATACCGGGAGATGTTTTATACATTATTGAATGGACTTGAATACAACAAACGTTAATTAAGTACCTACTGCCCAGCTGAGTGGTACAGTGAATGGAATGTGCTGGATTTGGGAACAGCAAGATGTGAGTTCAAATTCCACTTCAGATATGGATTAGCTGTGTGATCCTGGACAAGTCACTTCACCTTTCTCTGCCTCTGTTTCCTCATCTGTAAAAACGAGGATAATAATAGTACCTCCCTCATAGGGTTGTTATGAGGATAATGTGAAATAACACGTTTGGCAAAACTAAAGCATTGTATAAATGCTGGCCGTCACTATGTGTAAGGCACATAAACCCAGCACAGACCTTGCTCTGTGGACAATCTAATGTTGGTAGGAGGTGGAGGACGGATAAGGTGGGGAGGAAATTTAAACTAATAATTTTGAAAGAAGAGTGAATGTGACAAGAGCAAAGGAGAGATCTAAGCTATGAAACATATGAGAGACCATTTTCATTTGAGGGAATGAGGGAGAGGAAGAAGACAGAATCGATTTCATGGAGGTGACATCTGAGTTGGTGCTTGATGAACAAAGGAAGAAATTTCAACAGGTTGATTACCCTTCCAATAGAACATCAACTCCTTGAGGGAAATGACCTTTTACTTTTCTTCCTTGTATCCTCAGTGCCTGGAACAGCCAGGTGGCATAGTAGATAGAAGGCAGGGCCTGGAATCCAAATCTAGCCTCAGACTCTCACTAGCTGTGTGACCTTGGGCAAGTCACTTAACCCTGCTTGCCTTAGTTTGTCATCTGTAAAATGAGCTGGAAAAGGAAATGGCAAACCACTCCAGAATCCTTGCCAAGAAAACCCCAAATGGGTTCACAAAGAGTCAGACAACTGGAAAACAAAATTCCCAGTGCCCAGCACAATGCCTGGTATATTGCAGGTGCTTAATAAATGCTTCTTGGATTGGATAACTCTAGGAAGGGGGAGTCCATTACAGGAATGAGAAGTGGAGTCTGTGATCAAAGACACAGGGAAAGTCCAAGCCAAGATGAAAAAGAACAACCCAAGAGGAGATTTCAGAGACAACAAGGTGGATTCAGTCTCAAGGGGGCCTTGATATAATTTTCTGGCAATTTAAGGAGTGGCAGTTATAGAATTTATTTTCTCTTTCTCTTTCTGAACAAGGGAACAAAGCTGAGGGAGTGGTCATAGTTATTTCACTTGTTTATGACCTTGTGTAACCAACCAGACCACAGATTTGTATTATCTTCTTGTGGTTTTGGACAACACTTCCTTAGAAACCATTTTACTAATTTATTTACTTTAAAAATATATAGGATATCTCAAAATCTTAGTTTAGTTTAAAATTAAAACTTTGGAGATGCTTCACATATAGAAACAATCTCAGCAGATAAAAATCAGATAAACAGACCCCTTGAGGAATAAAGTCCTGTTTCACTGTTCTTCCTCCCCTCAGTTAGCTAGAACAATTGGGATTAACCTTTATCTAGACGATCTGGGTATTTTTGTCTGGCCATTCTGCTCTTTCTCCATTACCACCTATTTCCTCAGTTTGTTTAAATTACCTCCTCTTCTGGGAATAAGCGAAAAGTAGAGAAGAGAAACTTAAGTCTATC